ACAGTATTCCAGTTATACCAGTGTGTTAGCTTCATGTGAGAGGGTAGAAAGTGAGAGAGTGAGTTGTGTTTAACACCACTGTGAACAGTATTCCAGTTATACCAGTGTGTGAGCTTCACGTGAGAGGGTAGACAGTGAGAGAGTGAGTTGTGTTTAACACCACTGTGAACAGTATTCCAGTTATACCAGTGTGTGAGCTTCACGTGAGAGGGTAGAAAGTGAGAGAGTGAGTTGTGTTTAACACCACTGTGAACAGTATTCCAGTTATACCAGTGTGTGAGCTTCACGTGAGAGGGTAGAAAGTGAGAGAGTGAGTTGTGTTTAACACCACTGTGAACAGTATTCCAGTTATACCAGTGTGTGAGCTTCACGTGAGAGGGTAGAAAGTGAGAGAGTGAGTTGTGTTTAACACCACTGTGAACAGTATTCCAGTTATACCAGTGTGTGAGCTTCACGTGAGAGGGTAGAAAGTGAGAGAGTGAGTTGTGTTTAACACCACTGTGAACAGTATTCCGGTTATACCAGTGTGTTAGCTTCATGTGAGAGGGTAGAAAGTGAGAGAGTGAGTTGTGTTTAACACCACTGTGAACAGTATTCCAGTTATACCAGTGTGTGAGCTTCACGTGAGAGGGTAGAAAGTGAGAGAGTGAGTTGTGTTTAACACCACTGTGAACAGTATTCCAGTTATACCAGTGTGTGAGCTTCACGTGAGAGGGTAGAAAGTGAGAGAGTGAGTTGTGTTTAACACCACTGTGAACAGTATTCCAGTTATACGAGTGTGTTAGCTTCATGTGAGAGGGTAGAAAGTGAGAGAGTGAGTTGTGTTTAACACCACTGTGAACAGTATTCCAGTTATACCAGTGTGTGAGCTTCACGTGAGAGGGTAGAAAGTGAGAGAGTGAGTTGTGTTTAACACCACTGTGAACAGTATTCCAGTTATACGAGTGTGTTAGCTTCATGTGAGAGGGTAGAAAGTGAGAGAGTGAGTTGTGTTTAACACCACTGTGAACAGTATTCCAGTTATACCAGTGTGTGAGCTTCATGTGAGAGGGTAGAAAGTGAGAGAGTGAGTTGTGTTTAACACCACTGTGAACAGTATTCCAGTTATACCAGTGTGTGAGCTTCACGTGAGAGGGTAGAAAGTGAGAGAGTGAGTTGTGTTTAACACCACTGTGAACAGTATTCCAGTTATACCAGTGTGTTAGCTTCATGTGAGAGGGTAGAAAGTGAGAGAGTGAGTTGTGTTTAACACCACTGTGAACAGTATTCCAGTTATACCAGTGTGTGAGCTTCACGTGAGAGGGTAGAAAGTGAGAGAGTGAGTTGTGTTTAACACCACTGTGAACAGTATTCCAGTTATACCAGTGTGTTAGCTTCATGTGAGAGGGTAGAAAGTGAGAGAATGAGTTGTGTTTAACACCACTGTGAACAGTATTCTAGTTATACCAGTGTGTGAGCTTCACGTGAGAGGGTAGAAAGTGAGAGAGTGAGCTGTGTTTAACACCACTGTGAACAGTATTCCAGTTATACCAGTGTGTGAGCTTCACGTGAGAGGGTAGAAAGTGAGAGAGTGAGTAAGGTTTTACGATCCTTTTAGCAATATTCCAGCAATATCATGGCAGGGACACTGGAAAATGGGCTTCACACATTGAACCCATGTGGGGAATTGAACCAACGACATGACGAGCCAACACTTTAACCACTAGGCTACCCCATCGCCCCTTGAGCCCAAAGTGAGGCAGGTCTCAGATGCAGGACTATTCGACGTTGAGGCCTAATGTGAACATATTGTCACAGTGTCTGATGCAGGACTATACAGGGTTGAGGTCTAATGTGAACATGTTTTCACAGTGTCGGATGCAGGACTATACGAGGTTGAGGCCTAATGTGAACATATTGTCACAGTGTCTGATGCAGGACTATACAGGGTTGAGGCCTAATATGAACATGTTGTCACAGTGTCGGATGCAGGACTATATGAGGTTGAGGCCTAATATGAACATGTTGTCACAGTGTCTGATGCAGGACTATACAGGGTTGAGGCCTAATATGAACATGTTGTCACAGTGTCGGATGCAGGACTATACAAGGTTGAGGCCCAATGTGAACATATTGTCACAGTGTCTGATGCAGGACTATACAGGGTTGAGGCCTAATATGAACATGTTGTCACAGCGTCAGTGCAGGACTATATGAGGTTGAGGCCTAATATGAACATGTTGTCACAGTGTCTGATGCAGGACTATACAGGGTTGAGGCCTAATATGAACATGTTGTCACAGTGTCGGATGCAGGACTATACAAGGTTGAGGCCTAATATGAAAATGTTGTCACAGTGTCGGATGCAGGACTATATAGGGTTGAGGCCTAATATGAACATGTTGTCACAGTGTCTGATGCAGGACTATACAGGGTTGAGGCCTAATATGAACATGTTGTCACAGTGTCTGATGCAGGACTATACAGGGTTGAGGCCTAATATGAACATGTTGTCACAGTGTCGGATGCAGGACTATACAAGGTTGAGGCCTAATATGAACATGTTGTCACAGTGTCTGATGCAGGACTATACAGGGTTGAGGCCTAATGTTGTCACAGTGTCGGATGCAGGACTATACCAGGTTGAGGTCTAATGATGTCACAGTGTCTGATGCAGGACTATACAAGGTTGAGGCCTAATGTTGTCACAGTGTCTGATGCAGGACTATACTAGGTTGAGGTCTAATGTTGTCACAGTGTCTGATGCAGGACTATACCAGGTTGAGGTCTAATGATGTCACAGTGTCTGATGCAGGACTATACAAGGTTGAGGCCTAATGTTGTCACAGTGTCTGATGCAGGACTATATAGGGTTGAGGCCTAATATGAACATGTTGTCACAGTGTCGGATGCAGGACTATACGAAGTTGAGGCCTAATGTGAACATGTTGTCACAGTGTTGGATGCAGGACCTGTGCCATGTTTTTCATGATGTTTAAACTAAATGAAACATACAGCTGGCAAGAGGTTCACAATGCAGAAGGCAGATTTGAGAATAGTGCACAATATGTTGACATCTGATCTGAACAACTGCAAATACACACAGCTTCCTGCACTAACACTACAAGTGAAACCAGGACAGATACCCCAGGTACACAACAGTTCACGAGCACCATTGTTCAACTAGGAGTAGGAGAAAGGATAAATGATTTCTGCCGTATTATTTGATAAACTGAACTTCTAAAACAAAAATCAATATTTTCCTTGTAATATTTCATTTGGTTGCCTGACAAAGTTGAATAAATATTTTATCCTTGTCTACATCACTCATGCATACCTGCTATGTCTGGCCACTCAACAAGATAACACAATATATTTGACAAGATTCGCAAAATGTGTGCACTCTGAGTGGAAATAACAAGGTAGAGAGTTTTAATGAACACCAGGAGGAATAACAGGCATATCAAACTGTACGTTCCACACCAAGCATATCACTGATCTGAACAGCATAAGAATAAACAGTGAAACTTTTATAAATCTAAACCAATAAATTTATATCCATATCTTTGTCCTGTGTCCTGGATCTTCAGAAAGTGCAGCTTCAGCTTCTTGGAATAGGAGGCTAGCATTGTTTGGTTTGGCGATTCATGTTCAGTAATCATGTGATATTGTTGAAAATATATCACTAAATGGCTTAGCCATAGTGTTGTATGTTAACATTGTCCCCAATCACCTTACAAATTCCTGAATGTCTGAATGTTGAGGATGCTTCCTGACAATGACTGAGTGATACAGTGGACTTGGTTCAACATCACTTCAGTTAAATCAAGACTTGACAGCATAATAGGGATGGAAGGCCAAAATAATGTTTGTTTGTTTGTTGTTTGACGCCACACTCAACTATATTCCAGCTATATGAAAGCGGTCTGTAAATAATCGAGTCTGGACCAGAAAATTGAGTGATCATGAGCATCGATCCACGCAATTGAGATACGCTGACATGCATCAACCAAGTCAGCGAGCCTTATCACCTGATCCCGTTAGTTGCCTCTTACGACAGGCACAGTAGCCTTTTAAGGCAAGCATGGGTTGCTGAAGACCTATTCAACCCCGTATCTTCACGGGTCGCCAAAATAATGTAACTTGTAGACATTTACAGGTTTCAAAGAAAACAATTTAAATCAAGGTGCCAATTGGCTCCTTAACATTATTTTAAGGAGCCGACATTGAATTTCAAGGAGCCAAGGTATAATGTAGGGAGCCAAATGTTACATTTGCATCTGGAATGTGTTATTTGACTTCACAAAGTAATAAAACAAGTATAAGCTTAGTTTTATTTTATTTGCCGCCATTTTTACAGATGATATCCAATGTGAAACGTTACGATTCGCTAACATAATATATGTTTCTGGTGAGATCTAAAACTTGCTATATTTTTAACTCGACTTCTGTGTATTGTTTAATACTATCACGTTAATATTCATGATCAAAACAAAGTCCCCTAGTCAATTATAGGCAAGGCGCCAATAGGCGACTGACACAAATATATCGGTCACAAAATGCAAAAGTGAGTCGCGATCGCAAGATTGATGTCTGGTTTACCTCTTTGGTGAAACCCACAAACATAGGGCCTTTGATGACAAACCTAGGATTATACATGTATACTCATAATATGTCAAATTAGGGGATTCAAACGCATGATCTGTTTGGTAGTAAGGCAGCAGGAATTGGAAACTCTAAAAAATAGTTTGTTATGGCCTAATAACTGTGAGCTTTTTATACTCCAAAATGAAGTACTTACTGAACGTATCACGCTCCAGAATAAAAGCAAATCTGTCTGAATGTGATACTCATACATCATAATACTGTGATGACAAAATGGATGAAATTATTTTTTCAGAAGAATTTATTGTGGACTGAAATTTTGCTTTCCATGGTCTCAAAATAATGTCCACTAGGTTTTCTTCAAGGAAATCCAAGTATCACTATTGTGTCTAAGAAAGATGTACAATACTACCCACCATAGAAGCGGTGAGACAAGCGGTGGTATTCCTGCTGGCTGTCGTCACGCTGGATCAGGCACTTTCTCCGCGACGTGTACTGGCGCTTGAACTCCGACTCTGACAAGGTCGTTGTCGAGGAGTCCGACCTCTTGTGTGACCTCACCAATGGTGGAGACCCATGGCTCTCAGTGAAGACATCATCTGAACAACACAATCAACCTTTCAGCAACATTGCTTGTACATCATCAGCTAGACAATATGGATGACTCAGATACGAGGTACCAATTCCAAGTTTCCATTCTAGTTCCCGTACAGTTACAGTTCGACTGCAGGACTGACAACAGAGCTACGCCCTTTAATCTGTGACACTAGGAGCTCATTATGCGGGTGAATCAAAAATGCAGACTTTGGAAAGAAATCAAAATGAAATTGTTCAAAATGTGAAACCATTCAATAATATGTTAAACAGGAAAGAAATAAAACAGTAATTCTATTTCATTGCAGAATTGTTTATATATTGCTTAAAAAATTAAAACTCTGTGTTATTGAAAAACAAGTAACTGTTTTGGCATCGTGCTATGCTTGTCGGGGATATAGCACCAGCAGATTATGATATTTCGGCACTGACAGACTGTTTCAAACTGTGAATTCAGTGTCTTTTTATAACTATGTCATGGTGAATAACATCAAATGTCTATATTAATGATAACAGTTTCAAAAACATAACTGCAAAAGATTGTCAATAATATTTAACTAGGATAATGAATACTGGTTTGCACATTTTTAAACCGGTTAGGACTTTTATCCGAGCATAACTGGTCATCGGAGTTATCATGACAATTCAAGTCATATATCACATGATGGTTAGGCCCTAAATTGTTCTCGCCTGATCATGAGCGGATGACTGCATTAATGTTATGTAACCATGGTAACTTTGTACTGACCTGACGCACTGGCTGACCTGCCATCAACCACCCCTTTCACCAACTTCTTCCGCGGGGCAGGCAATGTTGCAAACTTCATGTCACCCATCTCTTCATCTTCATCAATTCGTATCCACTTGGAGTTGCGGAAACTTTCAGCATAGATTCCTGACAATAGATATTAGCTTTCTCATTACGACTACAACCAGTAAACATGGTCATGTTACGTTATTATGATTATCAAGGAACAGCAGAATTCTAGTCCAACCATGATCCAGCAAAACATTATTCTCGCATTTCCTGAAGAAAAAGAAATTAGACAAATACATAGATCAGTTATAGGATGATCACATTTATAAAATGTATTCAAATACAAAATATATTTTTCAAGTAAACCATCAAGGACTCAACAGGATCAAATCCATCTTCCCGAGTCAAGGGAGTTGACTGACTGTAAAAGTCCAGTTTCCATCCTTGCTGAAATTCCAGCTCGTTTGGCAAGGGTGGAAACTGGACTTATAAAATTAACTCTCCACGAAAAGCACACTTGTTGGTCATGGAACCGAATATGACTTTCTACTCAAGTGCAAAGTATATATGAACGACCATTGAGTTGGTGGGATTTTATTTAATTCTCATCCCATGTTGCCATGGCAGCCGTCTCGGACAACAGCCACAGTGACGACAACGGCAGCAACATAAAACTGGATATTGAACCGGAAATGAACCCTGAACTGAACCATCCGCTGTCTTTATACAGCACTGGCATCATGAATGCTCTCGTCTGACACTCACTGAGGTCTGAACCCTGAACTGAACCGTCTGCTGTCCCTATACAGTACTGGCATCATGAATGCTCTCATCTGACACTCACTGAGATCTGCAGCTTGACAAATAATTAAACAATAAACAAGCTTCGAGGAGCTACAGATCATATGTCCTGAGTGAATGAATGGTGTTAATCCCCAGCCAGTGGCGATCGAGGGACAACATTCGTTCACGATGGACAGATAATCCATAATCCCAAGTCTTGAGTAAGTTATTCTACATATTACTCATTGACATTTTGAGCATGTTGAGAGGGAAAATAAAGAAAAAATATAAAGTGTCAACCCTAAAGAAAAACTTCACCAAAGCAGCCTATTGTTCAGATGGCATAACATAATCAGTGTGATGTCATGTACAATGGATGACATCATATCATTTTTGTCCCAACAATGAAGCACTATGCCGTCATATGACTTCAATTGACCAATCAGCATACTGAATCGCTAAAAGGCATATGTGCAAATATCAGAAAGTTATTCCATACAAATATTCAACCCTTATGGTAATATGTATCGAAATGCTATTGATTTTGTATTAAGGTGTCATGCAACATTTCTTGTCAATCCAGACAGGCACGTTTACGTTACATCTCGATCTGTGAAGATCCGGCTTAGAACAGGTCTTCAGCAACCCTGATGATGCTTGCCATAAAAGGCGACTATGCTTGTCGTAAGAGGCGACTAACAGGATCGGGTGGTCAGGCTCGCTGACTAGGTTGATGCATGTCATCGTATCCTATTTGCTTAGATTGATGCTCATGATGTCAATCACTGGTATGTCTGGTCCAGACTTGATTATTTACAGACCGCCGTCATATAACTTGAATATTTCTGAGTGTGGCCTTAAACAACAAACAAACAAACAAACAAACATTGCACCTAGAATCATGTGAAACAGTGCACAACTTCTACAAAAAACTAAAAATATTTACTGGGTGCAGAAAGGAAATTATTAACTGTAAACATACGGAATGAAACTGTCATAAATGTGGTGGCTCGTGGTCCAGTGTACAGTGCACAGGTCACAAATCAGATGAAGCAACGCTGGTCGCGGAGAGTCCTTGGATTGGGTACTGTGTTTGGCAGCTTGGCTTCTGAGAGTTTCAGAGGTTTCAGTCCTGCCCCACACTGAAGCACATGCAGAACATTTGTCTCCTTGGACAAGTCACTTTGTTTGAAATATGCCCCTGTCACCCAACAGTGAATGTGAACCGGTAGGATGAGATGGTAATGTGAATGTTAACCTTCTCACGCCTCACTGGCACTTTGGGTTGTATACTCCCCAGGGAGCTGAGAATGAAAACTGATCCACTGGTCCATTGACTGAAGTAATAATGTACGTCTTTGAGCATGTTTTAGGCATGTTAGGCTGTGAATTTCCTTGAAAAATCGAGTGCAAATTGATCAACTGACCTGGGTATTAATAATGCAGTGCTTTGAGCAAACATTGCACATGAAGTTATGCTCTTTACAAGCAGACTATCATCATCATCATCATCATCATCATCATCGTGACAAAAATTATGTACTATCAATATTTCTTTAATACCTCAAAAACAATTGTAAAAACATTTATCTCTTACAAATTGTTAGACACAAAAGTCATCAAATTGTTTTAGATAGCTCTATAAAATGTTGACTAATGGGGTTTGACAACAGCAATACTTTTCAGAAGCACTATCCTTCTGCTCAAACAACAGCAAGACAGGAATTACATCACATTGCATGAAATGAGATTATCAGCTAATGGCTGATGTCATATGCTTACATCACAAACAAACTGCTTGTTTTCAAGCCAAATGCAGTGAAAAATCAACCAAGCAAAGTTGTCCGTCAAATTTTAATCACAAATTCATGAAATACGATTTTATCCCAGTACATACAAGAGACCTGAAGCCACTGTACAATTACTTGACACAAACCAACTGAGTCTCTGACAACTGAGAACTTACCCGTCTGCCAAGCTGAACATACAGACACAATTGGACACAACTCGATCAACTAATAAAGACACAATCGAAGACAAATCCAGGATAATTTTACCATGACCCCGGTTACAAAGGAATAATCCACCACATTACAACTTCACAAAGCACACTATGAAGGAGGAACAAAACAGATGATTACTAACGTACGTGCCGAAATCTGAAATGTATGAACGTTTGTTATCACTTTCTAAATGATTGTGCTGGACTTTCAAATAATGCTTTTAAGGAAAACTCTATAAATGCATATCTCCATACCCTTTGTACTTTCAACAAGGAAATAGGGAGGTATTTCATGGCAATAAACTGTTAAAGCAATATGAATATCATACTCAGCTTGCTTGCATTCTTAATCTGCTAATTGGAACGTAATTCCATTGAGTTAGATCAACAGTACACCCACCATACATGTGCCCTGACAAATCACATATTTTTAGGTATACTTTATTGAAATCAATCCTTATGATGATGATGATGAAAGGTGACTTTCATTCTCAGCTCCCTGGGAAGTAAACAACATAAGCATGATAAGCTGCCTGTGAGGCGTTAGAAGGTTATCATCTCATCCTAGCGGGTACCCATTCACTGCTTGGTGAATAGAAGCACATTTCGAAGTCACTTGCCTTAGGAAACACCACCTGTGCTACATGTAGTTCAGTGTGGGCAAAACCCCTAGAAACCCTTAGGAACCCCTAGAAACCCTTAGAAACCACGCTAAATCTAACATTTGAAACCTCATGCTGAGCAATCAGTTTCAAATTCAATTTAGCGTGGTTAAATCTACAGGTAACCAGGCTCTACATTGAAAACACAGTATGTTTTTCACCTAAATGAACATCCAAGCCGTTTAGTATCGACTTGATCCATGTTGAGGCTGACAGTGACAGTCTGCAGCAATCTATGAATTTACCTTAGTATCTATTTGACTCATGATCGGCCAATTGATCAATGATGACGGACTAACTGCTGTAATCGACCACTTCGGAAACCTTACCCGTCAAGTTTGTCATGTCGGCCACTTTGACGTCTTGTTCTTGGCGTAAATGTATTACAACGCGCTGGCACTGTGGCTGACTTACTGAGGTAGTTCTTAACAGACCTTTCTCTTCTAATGATGATATTATTTAAATTTATCATCCAAAACTGGCTCCCACAGGAGGTATGGCTTGGATGAGATCAAGCGATATCTACACTATCTACACTGTAGATATCGCTGCAATGAAATTACATCACAATGCTTTGCAGACCTTTGAAGACACTTCTAATTACTGTCTACAAATTGAAAAAGTTGGAAGAATGATGTTTGATGATAAATAAAATCTCACCCTCGTGTCTTTTGATATCACATATATCAACACTCGATAAAAGTGGCAAAAATCCTCGGCAAGCCTCGGAATTTTTCCACACTTTTATCAACTTGTGTTGATATATTTGATATCAAAAGACACTCGGTTGAGATTCTCTATATATGTGCTGGAACAAAACTGCCAAGGATACAATGTATACTTTTATTCACATTGTTTAGGAAAGGATTTAAATCATGACATTCACATGTTCTACACTGTTCATCCAACCTTAAAGCAAGTAAAACAAAAAGACCCAAACTAAAATTTCAAAGAAATTCCCTTTCACACTCAGAACATATTTTAGTATAAATCAGATAACTAGCTAGTTTTTCTAATTCTCAAAGGATAAAAAGTTACAACAAAGATGCCAATCATACCAATAGAACACTTAAACTAATGAAATGAGCTGATTGGCAATGGTTTTGAAGGGAGGTAAGGACAAAATCATTTTTTTACAATTTGCAACAGAAAATCCAGTGATTGACATCATGAAGGATTGATCCACAAAATTGGGATACGATGACATGCATCAACCAAGTCAGCAAGTCTGACCACCTGATCCCGTAAGTCGCCTCTTACGACAAGCTTAGTCGCCTCTTACAGCAAGCATGGGTTGCTAAAGACCTATTCTACCCCGGATCTTCACAGTCACAAAGTGACCATGAGCTGAAATAGTGTAATTGTTCATGGTTGAAGCTTGTACCGAAAAGGGATGAAACGGTCATGATAATCAGGCATTAACTAGCAGACTGAAGGCAATGTTAACAGTTATTTATATGTTACCAACTTGCAGACATTTACAATGAGAACTGAACATGTGTACATATTTCAATGATGTAAATGTTAAGTTCTACTTACAAACAGTGGGTGTCAGAAAAGACATATAATAATATCCATACAACACTAAATTATTATAAGTAATAAATAAATAAAAAAGTACAGTCTACTATTTACACATAAAGCAAGCCCCAAACTCAACACATATCAGATGAAAATCGCTGCTTACTACG